AGTAGATGAATTTTAAGATATGTTTGCGCTTTCCTGAAAATATAAACTTTGAATTCAATATTTTTGTTAATTAATTCGAAACTTATATAAACTGACTGCTGGGCTCGATATTTTTATGTTTCTCGTTTTGTATGTCCTTGTTCGATATCCTCACCGGCGACTGCCGTAATCGCAACCTAGAAATAATAAAATTTATTCCTTCATTTGTTTATTTTCTGTTCTCGTGAACCCCAGATGTCCCGGTAATGGTGCAGAAACAGACAGATTTCAAACTAGTCTCACTCTTTAATCACGAAGCGAGAAGATCTACGGTACTCGCCACGGCCGTGAGTTTCTACAGCCGTCCGCGACTGAGTGCCTTCCAGAATCCTCCTCCAATGTCAATTGTAGACGCTTGGATGCGCCTATGCATGTCTGGTGCCAAACAACTTTATTACTTCCTACTCCATTGCGTTTCGGGCTAAGTACACGGCTGTTCCTTTGTTACTGGAACAGCTGTGCTGGAATTCCATATACACTGCTTAAAATAATAAAATAATAAAGAAAAAAGTGTAAACACTTACGCAACCCGTAAGATGAAACAGAGTGATAGCTGAGGTGTGACATCGGAGCTACTAATGTGTCGCTGTGGAGCAAATGAACTGAATGAACAGTAAAGGTGCGATTGCGCATCATGCAGTCCGCATAGACGTTTCAGTCACAGACCGGACGAAAATTCTATAGCATTTTGGAAACAGTGAGGGTGTATGTAGTAAAGAACATTTCAGATCTCGGCGTAAGAAAGGAGTGCGTTTTCGTACGTCACTTCGGTACAAATAGTCACACGTGCTAAAATAGAAGCGCCGAATCAACAGGGGCAAGGAAGTAGACAAGATTAAGTGTACTCTCCAATGAAGGTTTATTAAAACAACCACAACCACACACTAGTTTTATTTGTCAGTTGCACTGACGGGTCACTAACGCACTGGCTTTCAATTCGCTTTCAGATAGAAAATGCATCGTAAAATTCGGAGGCAGTTTTATCTGCCTATCTCCTGAGAATTGTTGTTTTGTGCTAATTCTGGGTCACATCCCAGTGCACTATCACATTACCCGGCGTGGACTGTTCTACTGAAAATTCATGTTATCTTGCTACCAAGGATGACCACGCACTTTATCTTGCTTGTTCGTTATCTTGTTATCAGCGGCGATAGAATGTTTGGCGGAGTACTCAAGATTTCCCGCGTCATATGGAGCGACGTCGACGGCGGGAAACCGCGAAGTGTCCCACTAACTGTGATCTCTCTGAAAGGAAATCAATAAAAGCTTCATAAAAGGTACCGACGTGCTGCACATAATTTCGTTCACGTTTCATCGTAGATGTGATGAAGCTTGGGCAGTGCTTTGGTGGTATCTACCTTGAAGCAGTGAGAGCGCTTCCTCATAAACTGCTGGAGCACAATGCATTACAACAAACACATTCCTGTGTTCATTCATACTTTCCTTCTAAAAATAAAGAGTTTTTCCTTCGCTAAGCAATTAGCACCGTAAAAAGGCAGACATCAAGAACGGGTTCTTAAGTTTCCTTCTTTCAAACTGTAACGTACATTGAAAGTTTTGTTTGTATTTCGAAGCTACCTCTCATTAACGCAGCCCGAATTACAACTCAACCATTTCTTTTTAAATTTAAATGTATAGTAGGCGAATAGACAAGAAGCATAGCCAAGATCCCTGTAAATCAGTGTCTGATTATAAAAAATATAAAATTAAGTTAACTTAAACCAAATTTCAGGAACAGAATGTGGTTAAAACGCTGCATTTTATAAGATGAAGTATACTAATTAAGACAGTCATACTAATTAATATGATGTCTAATGTTCCTTATGTGGACCTTCGCATCAGGTATAGACACTGTTTACTTCCTGACGCGTGAGATCGGTACAAAATCTTCAAATGCAGAGTGCTTACTATATCTTCGGTGAGGTTTGCTTCTAAAATAAACTAAGGTCTTTATGCAATGTTTTTCTCGTGTCAAATAATTAAGACTTCAATTTGGTGTTTCTCATATTGACAGTACCCTATTTTTTTTTGTAATGTCTCTTCGGCGGTGCATACTTCCTGATCAGAGATACAGTAGTTTATTTAACATCAAACAAGATGATTAAATTCAATACCGCCAGGCTATTGTTTGCGCGCTTGAGTACCCCAATACACAAAAAATATATAAATAAAAAGTAGTTTCAGTCTGACATACATCAAATATTAAACAATTTGAACAATTGTCTACATGCTGTTACTCCTTTTCGTTAAGTCATCGTTCGCTTTCACATCTGCGAATGACTGCGTTTTAAGTTTTCGATAATAACAGTTAAATAGACAGAGCAACTTTCTAAAACAATAAAATACAAAAAAAAATCTGAGGACACTTAAGGACTTTTTATGAGTTCTGAATGCGAAAGCATGAATGTCGTTTTTTCGCTCCCTTAGTTCGCCTGCGGTGTACTGGCGTGGACGGCCACATTCTGCTAATGCCGAGGTTGGGGCCGACGGCCGAACGCGCGCTCTTGTGTAGTGGCCGCGCCGCGCTGAGCTCCGCCGTGCAGCCACACCGGAGTCTGCCCGTGCGGGCTCTGCTGGGCCGACGGCGGCCAGCCGCTCCCTTTTCGTACCGGCGGCCGGGCCGCTGCGCCGATATGGAGAGGGCTTCTCTGGTCGCGTTCCGTCTAAATACGCCACGCGAGAGCCAATGGGAGTCGCGTTCTTTCAAAATATGACGTCCACCGGCCAATGATAGCCTATCCATTCGGTTGCTGCTACAGGCGACAGGCTTCGTACCATTGGGACCGGGGAGTTTATGTGGCGTTTGCAGCGGCTTCAAAAGCTGGCCACCCTGGTTCTCTCCATAAGACACTTGACCCGGTTCGTCGCCTTGAGCCCTCACCAGAGCTGCCCACGCTTTCACTGCTCTTCCTCATGAAGGCTACAAGAAGTTCCCTGAGCATAAAGCTTCCTCTTCAAGACTTTTGGAGACCGCTCAGTTTTCTCAATTTATATAAAATTGCTAGAAACATAAATGCACGTTACTTGCGTATATCTCAAAGGCGCTATAAATGAATAGGATTTTTAGATCCTCCGTAACGTCATGATGTAACCCAATGTTACACCTTGACGTCACGCGAGCACCTATAGTTACGTCAGGACATGTGGCGTGATGTCGCAATGGTGAGTCGTAGTGTCGCGGGGGTTCACAGCATCAGGCGATGTCACGTGAACACCGCAATGTCATCAGCCACAGACTTGTACGTAACGTGTTACAAGTAATGAATTACTTGTAATCGATTACATTTTACGGTAATTTTGTAACTCTTCAATTACTTCCTTTAAGGAGTAACGATCCTTGTAATTGAATTACTTTTTTGTTGTAATCGTTTAAAAAATTACCCATTACGAAAATTCTCAACTTTGTTTGTTTGTTTGTATTTTGGAAAAGGGGGAGGGGGGTGTTGATGTGCTGGAGTCACTCAGCTCTGTGCAACATCAATACTTTTCTCTTTCGAAACCACTAAGCACGGGATTTTTGAGGATTAGTAGGCCAATTCACTATGCTTCGTTACCTGGCTACATTTGTTTTGGGGTACACCGGAGACTACGTCCATGTATGACCTTATCCAGCCTCTTGTGAGTAGCGTATTCAAACAACGCTATTTTTTTATTTATTTGATTTGTTTTTCACGAGAGGCATTGGGTGTGTTTGGGTCACTCACTCAGCTTTAAGAAAAAACGGTCAAGGTTTTTTTTTTTTTTTTTTGGAACTGAGCACGAGACCCCAAGGATTATGCTACCGTAATAAAAAAAAAGGTTGAATGAGAGGTAACGTGGGAAGTAATCGATTACTTCAAAGTAATATTTCGATCAATTTTTGTGGCTGTAATTGTAATTGTAATGGGATACAATTCTTACAGTGAAATAATTGTAATTATATTGGTTACTTTTTTCAGTAACGTGTACAAGTCTGCATCAGCGTGACACCACCTTCGAGGCTACACGGTACGGCCAGGAAAATGCTAAGAGCTGTCCCTGTTATGGTTATGGACAGAACAAACAAACAAAAAAAAAGTACTCAACTGAGAACTTTGAAGTAAGTTACAAAGCGGTTATAGACTAACACTAACGTGTGCGCAAGTGCGAGTAATAGAAGAACGCAGTCATGCTTTCTGGTATTTGTACCCAATATTGGTGCGGAGCCAGGTCACCGAGAAATTCAGTGTGGACAGAAGCAGCGTACTCAATCAAAGTCACTTATATTTATATTTTCCTTTTCATACGAAAAGTTCTGAAGTGTTTTCACTCTCAAGTCGGCTGAAATGATTTTCAATATAAGAATACAGATTCTTTAACTAGGGTCTAAAGACGTGTGATAGGCGCATAAAACTTAAAACAGGCTTCAACTAGACCCAAAACTGGAGTACGTGCTCCTACGGTTCTCTGTTTTCTGTTCCCTACATGAAGTGAAGGACACTGCCCAAGTCGTTTTTCTGACCTTCAATCGTAAAGAAAAATACAACATGTTCACACATCGAAACAAGTATTTCAAAGAGGAGAAAAAGTGTGCAAGCTGATAAAATCGCAGGTTCAGAATAGATCAAATCGGAACACCGACTGCTCTTAATAAGAAACACGAAGGCGTCGTGACGTACTTACAAAAACGATCCTTGACTAAAATTGGAATGGGAGACAGCGTTTCTTTTTTAATGTCACTGTATTCTGGACCGGCTGTCAAAACAACCTTGACAGTGCGCATCCTCGCGACATCTTTTTTTCTATTTTTACGAGAGAACCACCGCTATTAGGAAAAGAAATGAAATCAACACAATTTAATGGTTGATGTTTTTGCAGTAGTCAGATTACGAGAACGTTGACATTTTGAGACAGCAGGCCGGCCGCCAGCACGGTATATAAAGAATCGCCGGCGACCAGCTTATCACCATTCCGAATTCTCAGCAGGAGGAATAACCATCGCAATGTTTTCCAAGGTTCGACTCCCAGTGGTTTCATCTACTCGCTTAACCTCACCAGGATATCTTCCATTCCAGATCCTTGTGTGCTGCTTCTTCGCCTATGCGGCCTGCGGTGTTGTGGTCGAAAATGCAAGTAATGGTATTTAATACGTTTATAGAGCATCCTTAGCTCACAATCCTTATGTTGACGTCGAGGAGTCGTAGGGTGTAAATAAGTAAGTGAACGCTTAAGTATTCGAGCGTATAGGTCGAAATTTTTATTTGTAGACCTACGATGTACCACGCGGTGTAGGAAGAAATATCGTTTGTTTTATACACAGGTAAAAATAGGTTTCCAGAAAGAATTTTTATTCGGGCTTTTCCAACTGTGAGTTGGAGCAACAATACGATTCGTTTGTTTCACGATCTAAGGCTTGATTTCGATGGGAGAACAAAATGTAAAATTCAGCCGGTAGCACGTTCTATTTTCGAACGGCGCCATAGCCACTTTTTTGAAAACGTGCGCGCAGCAAACTCCGCCGGACGAAAATCGTCGTTTTTTTTTTCCGAGTATGTTCGTTATCGGATAGACCCTTTTTAGGAGTCCGTGCTATCGCATGTCCACAATGACTTGTTCACGCACTCAGAGCATGTATGGGACTCGAGGGGTGCGTCAGTGTTCCACATAAACTCGGACCAAATCACGCGCTCCGCGCCCAGTGAATGGCGACCATCAATGTTGCTTGAAGGACCTTAAAATGATCTATGGAGCGTAAAAGCCATCAGCGTCTCTAAGTTCAAAATTAACACTCATCAGCAAGCCTAAATTTTTAAAACTTTCTCAGAGACACCAGAAAGCTCTTTTCAGTTGTTGTTTTTTTTGTGGTTTTTTACATTTTGCGCAGGTCCCGGCAGCCCAGCCATACAGCTTCGCTTATGACAACACCGACGAGTTCGGCACCCGGGTGACCCGTCAGGAAACCGGAGACGAGCACAACAACAAGGTCGGCTCCTACAGCTACATTGATCCCAACGGCATTACCCGTGCCGCCAGTTACGTCGCCGACGCTTTAGGATTCCGCGTCAACATTGAGACCAACGAACCAGGCACCAAGACGTCTGCTCCAGCTGATGTCTCCATTGTATCCACCGCCGACGTCGCCCCAGTTCTAGGGGCGGATCCAAGGGCGCCAACTCCAGTAGTTGTCAAGGCCGTCGATCCTGCTCCAGTAGTTGTCAAGGCCGTCGATCCTGCTCCAGTAGTTGTCAAGGCCGTCGATCCTGCTCCAGTAGTTGTCAAAGCCGTCGATCCAGCTCCGGTTGTGGTGAAGACCAGCCATCCAGATCCAGTTACCGCGCAAACTGTCCCCACCACCCCTATTGTTCAGTCTAGTCCAATCACCTACGCTCATCACCCAGGCCCATTCACCTATGCCCACCAGGCTACTCCAATCACCTACGCTCAGCACCCTGCTCCATTCACCTATGCCCACCACGCTACTCCATTCACCTACGCCCACCACCCTGTTCCAGTCACCTATGGCCACCCCGCTGCACCGGTTGTGTACGGCCCACACGTCGCCCCAGTGCCCTATACCGTGGGACAAGCTCCAATTACCTATACAATTGGCCGTGTCTAGGGGTACCACTGTGCGATAGATGCAGAAACTATAGCTATATCTGAGCATATAACTAAACACAAACTGCCTCTGTCATCTTTCTTTTCTTGGGAAATTCTTGTTTGATGGGGCCATTAAGTGTATGGACTGCAGCAGTTGTAGAAAAACAACGAATTATTCTGGCCAATGTAGACTTTGATTCATATATAATACACTTGTGGTAGTCCTTCGATAATGATCTTATACCAGGAAAATATTCTTCCTCCTCCAAATAAATCGAAATTTTAATTAATAATATAACGCTTGGAGAGTCCGAGACCATTTTGTCATTTTAGTAACCAGTGCTCTGCACTCTAAAACATATCTGAAGCGTTTGTTTTCCCGCAAAGCACTAGAACGAGCAATCGCTGCGAAAAGCAGAAAGAGCTCGGCACATGACGAAACTGGTGATATGTTCGGACTTGAAGAAAATGTTCTGCGTTGTGGCACTGAGAATGACGTTTCGCCATGGTCAGTGGCACAGCGCAACATTTTGATTTTAGGTCTAGACATATTTACAGCCCTGTGATTTGCAAAGCTTCCTACATAGATTGCATTCATTGAATTTTCCCAAATGCTTTGCGTTAAAGTAGGTGTTCCAGATATTTTGGGGTGTACCACTACTAACCCGGGGTCTAACGCTCCTTGGACATTAGCTACTCAACAATCCTCAGCCGGTACAATTGTCATCAGATCAGACAAGGCAGGGGCGGAGATCAATTCCAGGAATAATTTCTTTGTTCTTTAGATGTGTCTTGTTTGTTTTTCACTATTACGCTTAATATTATACATCATGGAAGTTTAGGTAAACACCAATGAGATGAAAACTGCAACATAAGCACAACAAACAAAAAAGGTTGTCGTGATATATAGATCCTTTAGGGTCGAACACTCACCCAGCAGAGAGAACTGCAGAGTGAGGATTACACTTTTTGTTGCACTTCCTGATGCCTTTTACGCTTCTAGACATTTTAAAACGAACTCACGGGTGGTAAGGGCTCTTATATTTGAATAGCGTAGAGCCATTGTGTTTTTCTTCTTTTTTTATGATACATGAAGTCCAACAATTTAAAAATAAATGAAGTAGTACATTATCCCTAAACAGAAAAAGCGGGGAACCTTTTATATTGCTTTCAAGAATGTGGATATTTCCTTCCTTTCAACACAAAGAACGTTCCTCCGCCCCGAAGGGGCAAGAAATGTTCATCTTTTTCTCGTAGCCGAGAAACAGGTTAAAAGGCGCAACCAGTTGCAGCTGCCTACGTTGCATATGCCGATTCAGAGACTTTTAAACGGGCTAACACACTCCAAAAATCCATCATCAAGCACCGCCACCGTACTTATGGTGAATTCCACTCGTAGGTCTAGAGCGCTTTCCGAAATACGCGAGGGAGGCATAATTCCGCTTCGTGGGACCCGCTTCGAATCGACGAGCGGAAGATAGACTAGCCTTTTTGGAGCGACCACTCCACCCTCCCATCCCCTCTCTCCCCCCTCCCCCCTCGCTCCCCCCTCGGCCGTTCAATATGGCCGCTGCTCGAACTTGACCAGCCCACCAACGCCTCAGCCGACTGATCTTTCCGACAACCAGTGACAGTTGTCACTGCTTAGCTGCAGAAATAAGACACGACACAGGCCGGGCGAAATTATACGTACCATGGAGCCCATGTCACAAATAACAAGGAAGACGTCCGCATTCAACACTGCCACATACCTTTCGGCCGCCTCGAAGCGGCGGGGCACGCACAGCGATTGCCATTGCTGGAGTTCAGATTGCTGGTACGACTTAAATAAACACAGAGGTAACAAAGCATCACTGGCACAGTCGTTGCCTAATCTGGTCTTGCTTTATTGCATGAGAAAACGCCGGTGGCATGGAGCGTAAAAAAAGTAAACGATCAGAGGCGGCAAAATGAACAGGCCTAACCTTGCGCCTGCCTCCTTCCGATTTTCCGCCGTTCTTTTTCTCGTTCTTCCTCTCATAATCACAGATATCAGCGCTTCCTATTTGTCACGCTCCTGTCCCGACTCTCCATCCCTTTTCTACGCGAGGTAGAAGCGTTTGAGCCATCAAAATCCCGCGTAAACAGCCAACACATCCGAGCAGATCCAGCTCGACCGACTCGACTCCCTCACTCCGTCGACGGCGCGGCCAATCGCCGGTCGGCCCACCGACCTCGTCGCGCTTGCGCCACCACAGACGGAGAGGAAATGACGTAGCGCGCTTTGTCAACTTCCGTGTAGATCTCTGAAATCCCGCGGATCAAGTTCGGCGGAGTTGGAGGCACTCCACGGAGCGGGAGCTGCCAGAGATATACGAGCGGAAGATGACTAGGTCGAGCCAGATCTGCGAGCGGAATATGCGCGCTTAAAAAATGGAGCGGTCGAGATCTGCGCGCGGAATTTACCATTAGAACGAGAAAGGACGACCTTGTTCGTGGCGGAGAGAATGGGGGGCAGGCTCGGCGACTTGCGCTATCTAGTGCGATTGATGTAGCTCCCGAGATAAGCCGCTTGAAATGGCAAAAACTAATTTCCAAAGCACTTTTTTTCTCGTCCGAGTGCTAGATACGCAGACAACGCTGAGCATACGTAAGATGGACCCTTCAAGGCTGAGGTAGACATATGACACTGAAGATACATACACTTGACCGTTCATGGGCTATATACGAAGGCAGCACTGAACATGCATGCGCTAGACCGTTCATGGGTTAGATACGAAGGCAGCACTGAACATACGAAGCACCGCACTAGTATAAAAAAGAACAATATTTCAACAACAAACACAACGTAACCAAACGGGCATTGCCTACTTACACATGAACGCAAAAATCGTATAGTCAATAACAGCTGAAAGAACGCAGCAACGTGTAGCTGATTAGGTTCACGCTTCTTGCTTCGTGATTGGTTAGTCCTGGCTCTTACCGGCTTGACACAATCTCATTGGCTGCAGAGTGGTAACCAGATGCTCCATACTCCTCACGCCCTGCGTTTGTTTTGTGTGCAGTGACAACATTAGTAGAATCAAGCGTTGAACTATTACCACTATGGGCATAAAGAAAATCAGTGCGCACAGTGACATTCAGCAAGGTGAAGCGTCCTTCTCAGAGTCACTGCGCTGACTCTATTTCTTTTCTTTTTTTTCGGTCTTTTATGTAAACATATTTTCAGCTTCGACATTGGCCTTGTTTTCGCCGTAGAATGCAGAGATTATAACTCTCTCGAGTGCTTTGCGGGGGAGTCTACGTTCAAGATCTTTTGAGAGTGTAGGCGGCAAAAAGTGTGCCCTAATAAGTTGCGCGAGTAAAACGCGAAAAACTACTTATGTTCTGTGCGCCCCGACCGTGTCACGCAATGCTCGGTATTATCGCTTAAACCATGTGTGTACCATTAAAACCAAGACACCCGTCCTAGAGACTGATTTTCATGCATCAAATATGTCTCCTTTAAATTTTTTTTTAATAAACAAAAAATCTAAGCGCCTGCGTGGCGCAGTTATTTTTTATAGGCTGTGCCGATGCCCGAAGACGCCGTACGATTTGTGCTTCTATTCTCACTTTCGCTATCTTCTTTTCTTAGCATTCTGCGATATCGGGTAAGCAACTACAGGGGGTTCAAGGAGAGGTCAGGCTCTTCAAATCGACCACAGAATTCGGTTTCTTACCCTATCGCGCTAGGACTTTGTGCAGCGTTGCCCACAGATGGTAAATTGTTTTGTAAAATTTGCAGAGCGAACTTACCTGAGGAAAAAGTAAAGAAAGAAAAAGGCTTAGCTCCTATGGAAACGCAGCGAAGCCACCGGTCTTCAAACAACACGGCGCCGTTTCGCACGGGAGACAAGAGATGGCGCAAGCGGTCGGGACGCCAACTGCCGCCAACAAACAAGCATACCACGGCGAGAGCCGGCGTCTTTAGCAGACAGGAAACTGCAGTTCCTAGTTGTTATTGCGCCTGTTTCGTTTCTGTGACTGTCGCCGCCTGCGGAACGCGCGCCGCTTTTGAGTCGAAAAGATAGTCTGCTGAAGACGCCGGCTTTCGACGCCGTATGATCGTTCGTTGGAGGCGTTCGCTAACCCATCTCTTGTCTCCCGTGCGAAACGGCGCCGTGTTGTTTGAAGGCCGGTGGCGTCGCTGCGTTTCCATAGGAGCTAAGCCTTTTGTTTTTACTTTTTCCTCAGGTAAGTTCGCTCTTTGCAAATTTTACACAAAAAGAAATGCACCATCTGTGGGCAACGCTTCACAAAGTCGTAGCGAGATAGGTTAAGAAACCGAATTTTGCGGTCGATTTAAAGAGCCTCACCTCTCCTTGAATCACCCTGTAATATATGAATTCGGAAGATTTGGGGACTTTAAAATATACCTGGAATGTAAGTGCGACCACACTTTTAGCACCCGATGAACAGCATTCTGTATCGGGGTCACGGGGCACCTCAGTCATGAGTCAGAGCGCCATAAGCGATCAGACATCTGCTCGTAAAAAAAAAAAATGCATATATATATATATATATTAATCATGATATGTCGCTCCACCATCCAAAAAGAGTTATCCTAAAACACTGAAACATTCTTGTGACTAGCATACTCTGTAGTTAACCTTTAAACACATGCCTTATTTCTCTTGGAAGTCAATGACGTTTTAACGAGAAAGCGGTAGACTTTTACCCAGCCCTTCAAATTTATTTTTAGGTGTATAAACTAAAGTTTCCAACCATGAGGTGCAGGCATCTCTTACAAAAATATCTAGGCTTTATGTTTTTTTTAAATAAAAAATGCACGTTACTTGTATTGCACTGTTAAACCCAGTTATATCAATATCGTTATGTGAGATCTAATTAAAAACACTGGAATATTAAAAAAAAGATATAATATTACCAAGAAATATAAAGATATTAACTCAAATTAGCTTGGTAGGTCAACTTTATTTTAGAACATAATTTTTGAAAACAGCGCGCATATCATATTTATTACTGGTAACATCTCTAAACGCTCGGCGAAATGTTAAATCGACCGCGGTGATAAGAACAAAAAATTTACGTTTGTTGTTTCAA